TTTTAATGCTCTTCAGTCGAAGATAGAGGTAGTATTACTACGTTCAACAATCTGACAATGTACAATTAAACCGTCCGATCCGAGGCATTATTATATGAATAACAGACTTTGGAGTCTCACAGTTACTATACAATCATCATCTGATCATTAAATCAATCTTATGTTTCCCTACTAGTCCGAGCTTGATAACTGGAAGAAGAAGGTGGTTGACCTTGAGTCAGTGAAGAAGAGGTTGGAAGGTGAGGTGGAAGGATGGATGGAGACTGTGATGGAGGTGAGAAGAGGACGAATTACTCTTCTTAACCACATGGAAAACATCACAGACAAGGTATATACTTCAAAGTACATTGATTATTTTTCATCCTTTCTTCTCATTTTATGTCATCAACTGTTCAGCTTAGGGGTAGACTAACACTTCAAGATACGTAAGGACTACAATGAATGCGATACGTTAAAAAAGACATCATTATCATTAAGAGTATGTCATTATTGTTATTATTATTATCTTTTTTGTTGTTGTTATCACTATTTTATTATTATTATTATTATTATTATTACTATTATTATTATTATCATTATTATTATTATTATTATTATTATTGTAATTTATATACTGCGCTTTTCCCAAAGCGGCCCAAAGCGCTTAGCGTTGTTATCATAATCAATATCATTATCATTATCATTGTCAATATTATTATCATTATCATTATCATTATTGTTGTTGTTAATATATGCTTCATACTTTTTGGACACCTCGAGTTTTCCCTGTAATGGATACTTAGCATTTGAATGTAAACTTTTAGTACCATGATTATTTTATTAAAAAATATATTCCTCTATGTTTATATAGGTCGGGAAGTTGAATAGTAATTCTTTTAAAGGCAACAAAGGAGATACCTCTCAATTGGTAAGACATGTTCACGCACCCTCTCAAGTTTTAGTCAGTTTGCATATATTTTGTATTTGCTCATATTCAACATGATTATCAAATTATTCAAACGATTAATTTGTCAGCTAACCTTTTCTCTCAACACAACGTCGTTACCATAATTCAAAATTAGCTTTGGAAAACTATGTTAAACGTTATTTTTATCATCGTCAATTTTTGCTACTCTTCTTCTAATGTATTCGAATAGTTTGTATCACGTGACCTTGTTATCTGTATAAATGTTTTGCTAATGTTCATCCACATCGTTCCTTGATTGAAATTGGTGGACCGGTTGTTCTGTTAGTATTATTTGCCATCATATAGATTCATTTATCATCTGTTGATAGTCCAGTCTAACCTTTCTACTGAGGCCACCCAAGGGAAACAGAGAAAGCGGCTGCTGTAGACAGGTTGACTTTCTAGACATGTTCTACAACATTTCTTTCTCGATAGGAAGGGGGGGGGGTAAATACACTGCCGCTGTATAGATAGGTGGCCTTTATAGAGAAGTGGCCACAATGGCAGGTTTGGCTGAATATGAGTAAATGTCCTTGGTCTCCTGGCTATCACTCTCTCTGTATTCATTTTTGACATTTAATTGTCTCTTCAGGATCGCCGTGGTCATCATTCTTCCGTAGAGCAAACATGTGGGTGCCGGGACCGCGATCAGATTAGGGTCAACGAATTGCAGGCCGACATCGAGACCTTATCAGAACAGAGAAAAATACAGGACGGTCAGATTGAACAACTTTCTGATCTGGTAGGCAATGTTACATTTTATCATCATGATGATTATGATTCTAGAAAAATAATGATAACAAAAATGAAAATATTTAGGCATGAACTATATATCCACCATTCCACTACCACCACCACAACCACTACTACAATAATTCTACTTCTACTACTACTACTTTAACTGCTACCATACTTACTACTATTACTACCACTACTTTTACCATAAGAAAAAAAAAGAAAAATAAATAGGCCTAATAATAATGATTATAGTAATGATAATGATGAAAATAATAATACTAATAACTATGAAAACAATATAATAGTTCTATTTTTAATGATAAAATGTTGCTTCTTTCTAAACACTCATTTGTTAAAAGTAAGATTAAGGAAGGATATAGAAATTGTACGAGAAATGCTATTGCATCGTAAATATTCCAAACCAGATCTCTTTAGTCTTTACCAGTCTGCTTTGTTTCTTTCCTTTCTTATCCTTGATCAATTTTTGTCTTCACAGCTTCAAAAAGCGAACGACCAAAAGCAAGAACTGATGAACCACCTCACCGAAGTCCAGCAAGAGAGGCGTAATCTCCAAGTTGATTTTGATTCGTTTCTTGCTTGCGAATAATTCTAACTTTATGATTAGATACATTGAACCAAAGCCAATATAATGATGTGCAAATATAATAGGATGTACTTCCTCAGGTTTAGCATTATGGTTACGATCGTAGATCTTATATATTTATCCTTGTCATTGTCCATTGAGAATATTTTTGATCCTCTTCCATAATGGTTGAATACAATAGACAGTGATGTACGAATTTCACAACTCCTACGATCTGCTAGCGAGTTAGATGTTTAGCAACAGAAACAAGAAAACAACAGTTTGAAGATCAGGTATTTTGAGCTTAATTAATAGCATTTTCGGGCATACAGACAATTTTATGGGAATGGAATGCAACTAAACTTGTATTTTCGAAATAGAGGAAACAGAAGGTTTCAAAAGGAATACCTTTCACAACGCATCGCATTATATATTGTTAGATCTATTGTTCTTTGTAGGAATTTCTTCTATTCGTAAATATTGTCTCGATGATGTTTAGTATTGGAGTGTTTGGTGTGCTCCTTCGCAATTACCGCAAATGGTGAAAGGGGAGATATTTCAAAAAATAGCTGTCGAAAGAGCAACACATCTTAAATAAAATGCAAAAGAAATGCATTGGATACTCTAAATACGTTGGGACTTCAACTTTAATTTCACAAATCAAAATGAACATTTGAAATCTATTTCACGTATAAAGAAAAATATTCTCTGTCCTTTGTGATTTAGTACGGAGGATTACATTAAAGAAATGTAAGAAAAACTCAGCTCTCTGAAATTCATTTGTATTACAATTATACTTTTCTCATAATTCAATTAATGTGTATGTGTGTGTGTGTGTTTGTGTTTGTGTGTGTGACTGTTTATGTGCACTTGAGGTATGCTGCATTTTTATTGGGGGAGGGGGGGGGGCAGGTGCACCCTGTTCCATGTCGGCAAAACTTCAAATTGCAAGGTTGAAAGTTCACTGCTTATTTTATCTTCCACAAAATCTTCTCTTTTTCAAGTACCTAACAGAATTATTCACAGGTAAACAACGGAATGATAGAAAATTCGATCTGACAAATATTTTACAACAGATTCAAGTTTATGACAGATTTGAGAAAAGAAGAAACAGATCATGATTGACAGATTGAGAACTCAAACAAAAAGAAATCGGAAATGTATACTGAAGACTCCTGAACAAAGTCTTAAAGTCATAATAGAAACCTGTTTGTAGACTCATTTGTGGCTACTAAGCTATCATATTACCATTCATAGTCACATGACCTATACGGTACCCCATGTGATCATTATATTGTTATCTCTCAAGAGCATTTAAACAGCTCGTGGTTATATGTCATCGTCCTCATGCGGAGCCGCCTTTTCTTACAAGCGTCTCTGATTTCCGAGATCAAAGATCGAAGATCACCTGATTCGAAGACGAATTCTTTTACTTTTTCCGTTTGTTTGTTTGTTTTTCATTTTTACGTGTATATTTAATCAAGAAGGCGGAATGGGCGGTATCTTTTACAAGAATTTACAAAAAACATATCTATATCATTAACAAATATTTATTCTAAATTTAAAAACATAAAATATCAATAATCTACCACCAATATGAAAGCTATCATATCGACTACATAAAATTAATAGCGTTAGGTAAATCTTATATTTAACACGGGTCCAGTATTCTCTTTCCACAAGGGGGTACAAGTCCGAAAATTCCGTGACAAGAAAACAAAAACAACAAAACAAACAAACATACGAACACAAAAACGCACACACAAAAACTAAAACATTAAAATGTCATTAACCTACTATTATCCTTTTATTTTTGTTTCTTTAACAAAAAACATATCTATATCATTAACAAATATTTATTCTAAATTTAAAAACATAAAATATAAATAATCTACCTCCAATATGAAAGCTATCATATCGACTACATAAAATTAAAAGCGTTAGGTAAATCTTATATTTAACACGGGTCCAGTATTCTCTTTCCACAAGGGGGTAAAAGTCCGAAAATTCCGTGACAAGAAAACAAAAACAACAAAACAAACAAACATACGAACACAAAAACGCACACACACAAAAACTAAAACATTAAAATGTCATTAACCTACTATTATCCTTTTATTTTTGTTTCTTTAACAAAAAACATATCTATATCATTAACAAATATTTATTCTAAATTTAAAAACATAAAATATAAATAATCTACCTCCAATATGAAAGCTATCATATCGACTACATAAAATTAAAAGCGTTAGGTAAATCTTATATTTAACACGGGTCCAGTATTCTCTTTCCACAAGGGGGGTACAAGTCCGAAAATTCCGTGACAAGAAAACAAAAACAACAAAACAAACAAACATACGAACACAAAAATGCACACACACACAAAAACTAAAACATTAAAATGTCATTAACCTACTATTATCCTTTTATTTTTTAAAAAATTTTTCCCCCCTGGCTCTGCCACTGTGACAGATTTTTAAAATAAAAGTAAGTAGATGACTTACAACAGCTACAAACTTATTCAAATATTGATATAATCATTAACAACAACAACAACAACAACAACAACAATGTTTTAATGAGAGGTCAACATAATCATGAATCTAATTCTAATTTAACAGGGCTATACATTCGGTAGTGTTGTATCGTAGTCGTTCCGTAGCTATATCTTATCAAAAAATCAACATCACACAGCCTTAGTAATTTGAATCGTTCAAAGTCCGTTTAAGACTTTAAGGAACTGTGCTCAAAATGGCGTTCCCAAGATTTCAGGCCTGCATAGTGCTGTTTGTATGCATCTTTCTTATGGGCTGCGAATCGCAGGGTGAGTGTATAAAGACGGGAACTTGCACATGTACGTTTAACGATCAGTATGGAACTAAAATCGACTTTGGTACAATCGGAAACCGAGATGGAACACCTAAGTAAGTATAATCATAATGATAATGATAATTATAATAACAATACTCTATTCTTGTATAGCACATATTACATTATGATAGTAGTGTCTATATGCGTTTCCAAAGGGCATGTTATTACCCCCACGTTATATAGCTCCGGCAACTGTAGCGTTCAGTGCATTCAAGGAATAAATCCTACTTGGTCCTTAATTATACCTGGGTCAAAATTTGTGGGGAATATAGATTCATGTGTTGCCAAAGGACGTTAGTGCTGTGGCAAGGATTTGAACCCCATATATCTTGTGGGTAACAGTTCGGAGATTTATCTCGTTCAATACAATTCGATTCAATTCAATTCAAAGTAATACATATGTTTTCTTTCAATTCTCTTTCCATATCAACAACAAAATACTCAAGCAATTTATTCATACATACATCATGATATAAGCAATTCAATTCAATTCTGGTTTATTGTAATTAAAAACATGCTAATTAAAAATTCCGGAGACTCGTACAATTCAGTTTACAAATTATAAAAACATACAAGAATATAAGAAATCAATACTTTTAGCAATTTTCATACTGATTTAAATTAACTAAACAACTAATATCAAGATATAAATACATACAAGAATATAACAAAATCAATACTTTTAGCAATTTTCATACTAATTACTGATTCTAATTAACTAAACAACTAATATCAAATAATCGTAAAATAATACATGTTGTAATTATTCAGTTATAACATTAAAGCAATTTAACGGAGCAACAGCTTTAACAAAGGGGGAGATGGCGTACTTCCTAGAAACATGTTAGATTGTGTCGGTTATACCTTATAACAATATATTACAAATACATAATAACAACAAGAAGCATATACGACGAAAGGAAAAGAATGCTGTTAATATCATCTTCATTTGTAATGCAACATCTTTCAAATGTTTGCATAAGTTTAAACGGTGATTTTATTATTATTTTAATTCTAATTTAATGCAATGTCTTTGTGAAGTGCCTCAATACAAATTATTTCATTCACCTGATAAGAATAACAGTATTTCAATAGTCAGAATGCAAACTGCGTATATTAAGTGTTGCTAGGTAGGTCAATTCATAATGTTTGTCCTACCTGGTAACAACTTAAGTATGCAGTTCGAATTATTTCTATTGAAATACTATTATTCTTATCAGGCGAATGAAGTAATTTGTATTGAGGCACTTCACAAAGACGTGTGCATTAAATTTGGTTACATTACGAAAATGGCCGGTTGCTCCAGGCTCTATTCTGTTATTCATGCACTCTACTGTTAGATTAAGGTTGTATTGGGTACATGGGAATGTTCAGGTATATGGGTTAGATGTTTAGAGGTTCGAGTCCCGCCGCAACACTATTGTCCTTTGGCAAGACATTGATCTACATTTGCCACTCTCCACATAGGTGTTAAATCGGTACCGGTAGGAAGGAATTCCTTTAAATGCCGTGAGCGTCGAAATCGGCAGCCTAGCATAGCCGGGTAATGTTGGAGCGCCTTGAGGACCTTGCAAGGTCGATACGTGCGCTATAGAATCCAATATTATTATTATTATTATTACACTTATTAAGTGTAGGATCGGGTTTAGGGATATGGTAAGGTACAGTGTTTGGTTCAGGGCTGAAGATAATAATTATTGTAGTCAGGGTGTAGCTATCCCTGATTACAGAGCATTTGAAGCCAGGCCCCGTTGCATACAATTTACCATTAGGAACTTTTAGATTTGCGTGGACTGATACGTGTGATGTCCATTCAAAGCAGTGCATTAAAAGGACGTCGATCGTAGCAATCCACGTTGTCATTGTGCAAATCTAAAAGTCCCTATTGATGGTAACTTTGCCACCAATGGCAACTACTATGGTAACAGGGCTCAACAGCCAATCAAAATGAAAGTTTCCATGGGAGTTACCATTGATGGTAAAGTTATCATCAATGGTAGGTTTTATGCAACGGAGCCCAAGGCATGTGTCGTCAAACCATATTTTAGGAATATTTTCTCCATATACAACAGTGTGCAAAGGTGTTTTGAAATGGTGCAGAGAACGGCTTTACCGAGTTACAGTGGAGCCCTCGAGTTTTGCATCGCGTCAATATGATAAGTTTGAGAGTGATCTTCGAGAATTTATGATGACTCCTGCGAGAGATTTAACAAATTATCACCATAAACAGTCTACCTATGTTAAAGTGTTTTTCCTAAAAATGCATACTTCGCTATATTTCAAGTCTATAGGCCTTCATGTAGTTAGAAAATCCTTCTGAATGTGGAGTAGTCGAAATTCCACTTTTAGAAAAGCATTATACACATTTTGAGTTGAATCCACGCTCACATTCGTCGATTCCATTCTCCGAAGAGTTATTCAACTGCCCCTTTGAACTAGCTGGATTACACTATAATTTTGAATGGATTCAACTCCAAAAGAAGTAATGATTATATAATAAAGAATATGGATTCCATTTGCATTAAAGCCATAGAAAGCACTAGCGCAAAATCCCCTCTATATAGTACCATCTAAGGTTAGCTGTACCAGTACGGTCCCGTAACTCGCTGCTGCAACAGCTGCGCTGTAGGTTCTGACATCGAGTCCCCTATCCGTCTGCGAAGTGGGAATTAAAGCCCCACTGTCCTACTGTCTTGTAGCTACTTGCTCCCTCTATATAGAAAACTTCCCCAATCGGTGCCTGTTGGTCCCCCATGATCCTCTTTTTCTTCGGTTAGATGAGAGCTGAATTAATGAGATAGCCACCTGTCAGTGACCTCACTGTGTGGTATAATCCCTTTTGGCCCTGTAGTATTGACGGTCTTTAAGTACTGGGTTACCCACCGATGGCAAGTTGACCATGATAATGACGCTGTGCAGAAGTTCATCAGTTCATGAGCGCTTTAAGAGAGGGGGGGGGGTCATCTTTTCTATTATTCATAAGTCCTCTGTATCCGTGTTCATATCGCCCTTTTTAGTTCAAAACATGCTTCATTATGTTTATTTCATCTTTTCTATTATTCATAAGTCCTGTGTATCCGTGTTAATTATGTGATATCGCCCTTTTTAATTCAAAACCTACTTTATTATGTTTGTTCCAGGTTTGACTTTGGCAACTATGGACTAGAAGGAACGTTCACCTACGCGTTTAATCCTTGCTTCGCCTTCTCCGCTGGAAGCTGCAAAGATGTAGTCGTAAGTCATTGCCCTCTACTCATCAAAAGATATTAACAGGAACATGAACGCAGTTGAAAGTATGTTATTTTATGATATATAATATTGACAAAGTCATGTTACTCATTGACATGATGACGAGGTAAATTATCATACCGGCGCATCCGATGGGGTGGTTTGAGGGGGAGGGGGGTGGGGGCATACATGAAGGGCATGAGTCTACCCCTAACTCTTCCGGCAAAAGGGCATGAACGAGGCTGGTACACTTTATGCTTTCCAAAAAGAGCGTAATTCATGATAATAATGATGATAATAGTATTGAAAAAAAATACTAATGATAATGATAATATTAAAAAATAACAATAACTACAATATTATTGATGATAATAATAATAATGAAAACAACAATAATACTAATAATTATGATAATAATTCTACTGATAAAAAGAACAATAACAAGGAGAATACTTGTTTATATTTTTGATCGTGCTCGTATCAACCACTCAAGGAATCGCTCATTTGAGCGATTCCTTGAGTGGTTGATACGAGCTTAGCTACTAATCTTGCTCTCATGCAGCAGGTCAAACAGGTCGGAAAGTGATATATGTAAACTATTTAATGTCACCGTATGTTTCTTTATAGGGTTGTCAAAAAGATACGAATGCAGAGGCTTCATATTTTGACATTGGTAACCCCGAACCAGTATCCTGGACAACTGATAGTGATGGAACGATTTTAGTTTCATACAGTGCTACGCAAGGAAGCGAAGAAAGGTATTAAAGTTTATTTGTCTGACTGTTATCAACGTTATCATCATTGTCATCATCTGTATCATCTTCATCATCGTCGCCAATCTTTGATCATCATCATTGCCAACCTTTGATCATCGACATCATCATCATCATCGTCATCACCATCCTCATCATCACCATCATCATCATCATCGTCATCACCATCATCATCATCACCATCATCGTCATCATTCATGTTATTTCAAGCAAGCATCATTATCATGATAGACATCCTCACCATCACCATCATCATCTCCACTCCCATCTTTTTGACACCGGTAACCCCGAACCAGTATCCTGGATGACTCTATCCGGAGGAACACTTCCATTTTCATATCCTTTAAATTTTACTTATGTCACTTCCCACAAATGCATCATCATAATCATAATTATCATCATCATCATGATAACTACAATCAGTATCCTCATGACCATCATCATCAACATCATTCTCAAATATTTTATCCTTCTCACTATCATTCTCATATATTTTAAGAATCAATTTTAACGTCTATGTTTTACTATAGGCCTACATTGTAATGTTAACGTCTTCATATCTCTATAAAAGAATATATACTAAGGATTCAAATCTAAAATGTTTCGAATCAGTTTCTAATAATTTTTGCATACATGTACATTGCATTTTTGTCATCTTATGGACTCCCGTCGCCGCACTAATGTCCTTTGGCAAGACATTGATCTACATTTGCCACACTCCACCCAGGTGAAGTAAATGGGTACCTGGTAGGAATTTATTCCTTGAAATGCTAGAGCGCCGTATGGCAGCCGTGCTAAAGCCAGGGTAATAATCGGGAGCGCCAGGAGGGTCAAATCTGACTGACATGAGCGCTATACAAGAACCCACTATTATTATTTTATTATATTGTTTACCATTATCTGCTTATCAAGCTTTCATTATTCATAATATACGTTGTTTGCTCTTAAAGCATATTAACAATTGTTTGGCCAGGACGGATTAGACCTCAGTGCGTGTTCACTGGCAGGTTGTTTTCTCATTAAATCAGTTGTCAATTAACATAAGAAAAAGGGGACAATGGGGGAACAACTAGTACCGCTTAGGCATTGTTGGCTATATAGAGGGCGCAAGTAGCTACAAGTAGTGCAGTCCCGCTTAAATAACCAATACCTGGAGTCCAGTTTTAAAAAGATGAATTATCTACTCTTAAAATCCATTTATCCTGTATTCATGATAATGTTTGATTCTAAAAGACTCTCTACTTGGTTGTTTTCTTGAAGAACATCTGCGGTTCAATACACATGTGAAAAAACTGCTCTGAAAGAACCAACACTTGAAATACAATCAGAAGCCCCAACGAGGACCTATGTAAGTTTGTTCGACCTAAGGAGGAATATTTTTCGACTGATTAACAAAAAATATATTTTCCGATTACAGCATGTGTTTAGGGTGATTAGACTTAAAATTGCAACATCTTGTTATCTTTGTGCATGTATGTAGGGCACGTGAGGCATGTAACTGGGGTATGATTTAATAAAAAACTTAACGATTTAATTGATAATATGATGTAATCTCACCCTTCCTTGTTTGAATTTGTTTAACTTCTCAATAAGTCAGCTGTGCTCAGGCGCGTACACAGGGGGTGGGGGGGGGGTGTTTGGGGGGGTTAAACCCCCCTTTGGTATTTTTTTGTGTGTAAACCCCCCCCCCTTTTTGGATTTTTTTTTTTCCAAAAAAAAAGAAAAAAAAGTGTCCTCTTACCCCCCCCCCCCCCCGCTTATTCAGCGGTCAGCTGAGTCGTTACGATTTTTTTTGGGACAAAAACAAAAAGTGACCTCTTATTACCCCCCCCCCCCCTCGCTTATTCAGCGGCTGGCTGAGTCGTTGCGAGATTTTCGGCCCGATTTATAAATGTTAAACCCCCCCCCCCTTGAAAAAATCCTGCGTACGCGTCTGGCTGTGCTTTAATGGCTTAGCTGATTTGAGATATTATTTGATGCTGTTTCTGTATCAGTAAATAAAAAGATACACGAATAAATAATTAGATGAATAAATGAATAAAGCACTAAATAAATACATAAATAAACAAATGAACAAACAGTTAGTTTCAAAATGATTTCACTCAAAAGTTATTTTTCGGCAGATTGTGGGCGTTCGTTGTCCGAACGGTATGTTAGTAATTGTTCAGATGCTATTTGTCCGCCTGGGTCCGGGTACGGTGTAGCCTCTTGTCGATGGCCCTCGCGTTGTTGGAGTCCGTAAATTCTGGCGAGCGAAGCGAGTCAGAGAAACCGAGCGCAGCGCTCAGAGCCGAGCGCAGCGCTCGGTTTCTCTGACTCGCTTCGCTCGCCAGAATTTACGGACTCCAACAACGCGAGGGCCATCGACAAGAGGCTAGGTACGGTGCACCTTAGAGATCTAGAAACAGTGATAGGTTTCTTTTTCCTTTATTGCTCATCTCTCCGCAGAACATGATAGTAAAAACATGCGCTGCTTGTAGCCCTGCTGTTTCAGGATGCCATACCACTGTACCTTCATCTTCAGGCGGGCTCACGGGAGGAGGTATCGTGTGTATTATGTAAGTGAAGACAAGGGAAGTCCCTAAAAATGAGGAGGGGGAGGAGGAGGATTACGATGACGAAGATGAAGATGATGGTGATACTGATTGTGATAATGATGCTTTTGATGGTGGTGAAAATGATGACTATGAATATGTTGATGATGATGGTGGTGATTATGATCTTGATGATTACGGTGGTGATGCTGATGATGACGATGATAGCGATAATGTTTGCGATGATGCTGGTGACGATAAAGATATGCTGAGGATGATGTTCTTGATGATGGCGTTGATGATTACGTCGATGATTCTGATTCTGATGACGAGAATAATAATCATCATCATCACTATCATCCAACCTGTTCAAATACATTTGAATAACGATTAATGTTATTTCTGTTACTTAAAGACCTATCAATTATCGTAACGTCTTACTGCATACATGTCTTAAATGAAACGGGCCCTCCTTGCAATAAACCCTCATTAGAAAGATCCTACTCACATAATGCACTTTTTTCTCTCCCTAGATTCACTGTTGTTGTGTTCGTGTACATTGTTGGTGGGATTCTGTTCCAGGTATTTGTGAGGGGAGCAACAGGAACGGAGGTCTTCCCTAATCACAACTTTTGGTGGAAATTCCCTGGTCTTGTGAAGGTACGAATCATTTTTAGGTGGAAATTATCATGTCTATTTAATATGTCCCTTCAGATGCGGATCATGGGCGAATAGGTATTATGAGGCGATGGAAAGTAGAAAGTGAAACTGGATAGTTAGTATTGGGCAACATGAAGAAACGCCAGTCTACCCCGTCCCTCGGCGAGAGTGAAGAGGGGGGGGGGGGGGGGGTAGGGTGAGGAGGGGGCGAAATGTTTCACAACCACGAAACATGCATCGAATAGCGTCTATTTTTAAGGAGGGAGGGGCGATCGAATTTTACCTGACAGGACCTGCTCATTCCCTAAAAGAAATGAAGACATTGGTTCATTTGCTCATGGTAATTATCAGTGTTGCCAACTATGATTATTGGGAAAATATGAAATGTGATTGTGTGTTTTTCCCCGTTTTTTGTTGTTTTAGAGGCGGGTCGTGTACTGCGGTTGTTTGCAGGGTTGGAGGATGTTGTTTGAAATGAGACATAAATTATTATGAAAGCTTAGAAAGAAGAATTTAGTACTACTATGTCTTTCATGTTTTGTTTGATACACAGGATGGGTTTCTCTTCATGCTAACACCGTGTAGACGAGGAGGATATTCTGAAATGGCGGAATAAAGTAAGTCCTCAAAAAAAAGAAGGTTGAGTTAGGATGGCAAATAATCTTTGAGCTTTCTTATTCTTTTGATGGTTTGGAATACCATAAGAGAAAACAATCCTGAGGTATCCTCTTCAAAGTCCTCATATTCGACATATGAGGAGTAGAGAAGTAGCTAATTTTACATTTGACACTAATGGCGCTTTACATATTAGAAGTAGCTAAAAAAAATTAGGACCAACCATTCAATCATGAAAACATGTTTCACGCCTCTTTTCCCCTTACTTGAAAATTTACTCCAATTTTGTTCATATGTACGGTTCTAAATAATTTCCCTTTAATTCCATATTTCTTGCAGGCAAGATCTTGTTAACGATGTTCGATATAATGCCTCTCTTCATGTGATTTGTATGCTACTAGTCCGGCAGCCAAATCCAGATTATTGGCCTAACCTTGTTTTAGGGTCTATAGTTTTTTTTTCAATGGATTATGATTGCCTAAACCTTCTGTTTGAAGAATCCGATTGCTGACACTCTGTCAGCCTTGAGCAATTTAAGATATGTGACGTCATACAAAATGGCCGCCAAAGTACATGATTTTTCACTAAAAATGTATAATAAATATATAATAGGGCCTTTTCTACAATTTTGGACAGCCAAATGTCTGTATCTCTCTACGACCATCACTAAAAATTGTTTCGTGATGTTGAACGGCCATAGATGACAAGCTAATTTGCATATTTTGAAATAGCGCCCTCTATAAATATATTAATTTTGCATAAAAAATAGGTGTGCCAATTTCTTTTTTCTCAATGGATTATGATTGCCTAAACCTTCTATTTGAAGAATCCGATTGCTGACACTCAGTCAGCCTTGAGCAATTTAAGATATGTGACGTCATACAAAATGGCCGCCAAAGTACATGATTTTTCTCTAAAAATGTTTAATAAATATAAAACAAGGATTTTTCTACAATTTTGGGCTGCCAAATGTCTGTATCTCTTTAGGACCATCACTAAAAATTGTTTCGTGATGATGCACGGCCATAGATGACAAGCTAATTTGCATATTTTGAAATAGCGCCCTCTATAAATATATTAATTTTGCATAAAAATAGGTGTGCCAGCCAAATGCCAATGTCTTAGATCTACGTCACGTTAAACACATATTATATGCTTCGTATGCATGAAATAATTACGATTGTGCAGCTTTAACCTTACATATTTTTTGGTCTAAATTAAGATACATGTAAAGAAACCAAGATCTACAAGAGAATCAGTGAGAAGTGATTTTACGGTACATTATTGTTCCATTCATAGGCTTTATTTAGATCAGCATTGATCCAGCGTTACTGAATGATGATAAAGCATTTGGCATCGGTACCAGACAGATGCTTGAGTTTTAACAGAAGTTACCTGGTGGATTCTATGACACAATTTCCAAGAAAGTCTACAACGGGTACCTGACAAAAATTGTCAGCCCAGACACCAACTGTAAACCAAAGTGTTTGTGGAGTTTCATAAACGGCAAGCGATGCGATGCTTCAGGGTTGGCTCCATTGAAATAATCTAATGGAATGACTTACTCAGATAGCCTCTCAAAGGCGAACATTCTAAGTAATCAGTTTTCACCCATCTTCAACTGCAATGAAGATATGACTAGTCTGAGAGACAAAGGACGAAGCCCCTGCCCAACCATGGATCAAATTAATATCTCGCCACCAGGGGTTCTGAAGATCCTGTCTGAGCTTGATGTTCATAAAGCCACTGGTCCTGACCAAATCCCAGCCAGACTTCTGACCACCAAACTGACACCTGTGTTCCCTCTATTCTTCCAAGCCTCCCTTAACCAGAGCGTGCATACCTGATAAATGGAAGATGGCTATATATATTGATCCCATCTTCAAGAAAGCTGACCGTAGCAAGCCAGAGAACTACAAAGCTCTCTCTCGGACGTCAGTAACCTGTGAAGTACTGGATCACATCGTTCTTAGCAGCAACAAGAACCACCTTGAAAGCCACAAGATCTTGTCTGATGCACAACATGGCTTTCGAAAGAAGCGATCCTGCGTCTCACAGCTTGTCCTTGCTGTCCTGGACCTTGCCAAAGGCATCGATGCCAGAGACCAATTGGACATGACACTCCTTGGTTTCTCCAAAGCATTTGACAAGGTTCCCCATGGAAGGCTATAGCTGTTACACAAGCCCCAATTCTATGGAATCCGGGAACCCACACATGCTTGGTTTTTTTGGCTTCCTGAGTTACAGGACCCAGCAGGTGTTACTGGAAGGACCCATCTCCAACACCAGCCAAGTAACATCTGGCATCCCGCAAGGCAGCGTTATCGGCCAGATGCTGTTTCTCCTCTTCCTCAATGATCTGCCACCGTACCTCTCCCCAAAACCAACAGTCAGGCTCTTTGCTGACGACGGCATGCTATACAGCAACACCAAGACATAGGAAGACGCCTAACGTTTCCAAGAGGATCTTGACTCACTGCAACGCTGGGAGCGTGATTGGCTGATGGAATTCATCCCACATAAATGTCAGGTTCTACATGTCATCAATAAACGCAAATCCATCATCAAATTCACGGACAGACCCTAGATAACAAAAATATAGCAAAGTATCGAGGTGTTAAGTCGCAGAAAAACCTCAGCTGGAACCCACATATCAACATTATCAGCAAATACTCCAACTCCACCCGTGCCTTCCTTCAAAGAAATATCCAACCATGTCCTAGAAAAGTTAAATAATTGTGCTACGATACTCGCCTTCAACCAATCATGGAGTATGCCATCATCATAATTATATGGGACCCTAACACTCAAACAATTAGCAATCATCAAGAAGCTTGAAATGGGTCAACGGCGTTATGTCCGCTCCTACTGCAATGACCACTTCAGGACAAGCAAAGTAGCTAGAAGCCATCCTGAACCAGCTCAAGTGGCCAACATTACAAGAACGCAGGGTACAGGCTCAGGTGGTGATGTTCTTTCGTATCAACAACCCGCTGAAAGACTTTCCACATACTTTCCTCACTCCATCAACATCCGTGCACAGAGGGCATTCCAAGAAGATAATTGTTCATTTTGCCTGAATGCTTGTCTAAAAGAGGAGCTTCTTCCCGGAAACAATAAGACTCTGGAACTCCCTCCCTTTGAACACCGTCAATTGTACATCTGTTTAACAGCTTCAAGCAAGAGTTTCTTGCTGTGCAGCTCCTGCTATGACTAAACAGTCAAATCCTAGAGAGGCAGGTCCTGTTGCAGTTGCTGCAGACAAATTTCATGTGTGGCTGTGCTGTTGAAGCCGTGGCTAGCTGCCGTCTTTGTTGTATTTTCTCCTCCCACTGTTCTACTCTCTTCTGATCACTCCTCTGTATACATGTCTTCACAGCGCATCTCCATTTGGGGCAGTCTGAAGCATAGGCTTCCCATTTTGTAGGGTTGATTTCACTGGCCTCCATATCCCTCTTGCACACATCCATGAAGCGAAGGCCAGGTCTTCTAACAGTCCTGGTTCTGGTCGCTAACTTTCCGTACAAGATGTCTTTTGAAATGCGGCCTTCTTCCATTCGACTGACATGACCGAGCCATCTCAGCCGTCGTTGTGATAGAAGAGCGTAGATGGTCATCATCCCTCCTTTTTGAGGACATCCTTGTTTGGAATGTGGTCCTGCCATTTGATGCCTAGGATTCGCCTCAAGTAGCGGAAATGGAAAACATTCAAACGGCGCTCCTGACTTGCATACAGGGTTCACGACTCACTGTCATACAGGAGAGTGCTGAGCATATAGGCCTGGTAGATCTTCATTTTCGTGTTGGTGGTTTATAGTAAAGTGTTCTTCCAGGCCTGCTTTGAGTGTCTAGCCATCTTGGTTGCTGCCTTGCCAATGTGAACGTTGATCTCGAGAACAAGGGAGAGGTGCTTAATACATGGAGCCGAGGTAGGTGAAGTTTTCAACCACTTGGAGGGTGTAGTTTAATTAACATTGGAGGATTCGAAAGTCTATGACACCAAGTTGATCTACTCTAGAGTAATAGGACTGCAGGCAAGTTGAAGATATGTCAATATCAAGAATATTTTGTCATGGAAGCTTTCACCAGGTCAAAGGCGAACTTGAAGAATTTGACAAAGGTTGATGTGTCACTTGAACAACCTTGTACAGCCCGTTTGATGGTTGTGCTCTACTCTGGATTAAAATTTGATGATCTTTGGTTGGTGTGCCACCAGGGTTTCTAGAAGTCATGACGAATCGAGAGTCATCCAAAAGAGTTTTCCCACCTCACTGCTTCCCTCCCAGAAACTACTGACAATAAACTACAGTTGATCGACATCATATACCGGTATGCGTGATTCTGCAGAATGATGAGGTGTTCAGAAATAGGCAAGAGCACAAGCTGGTCATTACCGGTCAAGATGATGTATCTGTTGAAGTTATACCAGGCAGCGATGTCATGCCAAGGGAAGATCTTTCCATAACACATGAAGAAGCAGACAACATCATAGTACAGCAAGCGATTCAAATTGCTGCTAATGAAAAAAGGTATGTTAGGGTCCTGGCTGTTAGGGTTAGGGTCCATCATTATCTACATGAATAACTTAGAACGCAAATGATCATGGATTCATCAAAGAGCGAACTGTTATTGACATTCCTGCCACTGTACACAAGTTAGGAGATATCATTCCATCGATGTTGGCAGGACATGCGTTGAGGGGATGCGACACTATTGGGGCATACTTTGGGATTGAAAAGGGTACATGCATTGCTGAAAGTGATGAAGCAGAAGATTGGACTCTCTTTGGACTCAGTTGGCAAGAGAGCTCATCTGCAAACATGTGTGTGGAAGCACGCCTTGCAGTCACGACCCACATCATTGGATCCTACAAAGTATGGCTATGCAAAAGAAGAGGAAACCAAAACCCTGATCCCTGTCACGTACTTACAAATGTACAACTCGCACCTGACAACATATAAGGTTAATACGGTGCACTTGTGCGAGTGGAAGCCTATGTAAATCATCACGGTGCCAATGCAACAAAGCAAAACTAGCATGCACAATTTTCTGTGGTTTTCGCGCCCCTGTCGAGTGTTATAACGATCAAACTAAAGCAGCAAATGATAGCCATTGGAAGGTAACCATGTTTGGTCATTTTGGGTGGATATAAATTCCGTTGTAAGAGAGGAACCTTTTTATGATAGGTTCATATAAAAGAATGTATTACCTCAAAATACAAATAAAATTTCGGAATGCTGTCACTGAAAACGGGCATTTATAAATATATGGCACCTCATATCTATGGGACAGAGAGCATGAAATTCTAGCTTGTTTTCTTCAAGTATTAAAGATAAAGACCAGTAATGGTCATGCGATTGCATTGTGAAAGAAACGTTGTGGAATCGATCAGAAAAAGGTTGATCATCTAGCTTATAAGTATTGGTGTGTACTGCAAGGTTCTGGAATCATCAAAACGATTAGAAATTTGGCCCAGTCTTTGTAAAGTTACAAGCAATGTACACAGAAGGATGTATATGGGACTACGCGACACGTGCGCGATATCTACCAGGTCTAAATAGATATAATAATTTACCAAATATATCAATTAGTAGGCGGTTTCTCGGCAAAATGTGTATTATCACGTATTATTAAAAACATATTCTTTCACATGATTGGTGATAAGAGCTTCCATATCATTTTTTGAGAGGGGGGCGTTTCCAAAACTGATCTTTACCTTTAAAGTACAAAATAACAAAAAAATCACACCAAAATGTGGTGCACAATTTTTTCTAATTGTATTCAGTGCGTCTGACTTATAAAAAATGTTAATTTCATGTTAGAAATTGGCATTTGGTCATCATTTAAAATTTGCAAGTTAACGTGTCTATAGAGGGCGCCAATCTGAATTATGCAAATTTACATGCCATTTGTTATCATACAACATCGTCAATTTTTACTTAGTGATGATCCTAGAAAAAATTAAGATATTTGACTGACATTTAATGTAGAAAAATACTGTAAACAATTTTGTTATCATTAATTTTGGTAAAAAAGGGTATTTTGGCGGCCATTTTGTGTGACGTCACATATCTCAAATTGCTCAAGGCTGACAGAGTGTCAGCAATCGGATTCTTCAAATTGATGGTCTAAGGAACTATAATCCAAAAAAAACAAACTATAGACCCTAAAACAAGGTATATCGAGATGGCTGCCGGACTATACGGCTTTGAACCAAACATAATAATAATTATTGCTCTCTTCCTTTGATTGACCATGGAAATGTTGATTGGTTCCTTTTTCTTTTTCTTTTTCAGAGCATGCAAATTGGGTGTGCATATCGGAGCCTGATTGCGAGGATTCTTTAGATATTCTGTATAATAATGATGATAATAATACAGATAGTAATAATAAAGATAATAATAATTGGTTATTGTATGGCGCTCATGATAGATTTGACACTAATGGCGCTTGACAACTATTACCCCGATATTAACAAAACTGCCATTTATATGGCGCTTTAGCATTTCAAGGAGTAAATTCTTGCCAGGTGCCCATTTACCTCACCTGGGTCGAGAGTGGCAAATGAAGATTAATTTCTTGCCAACGGACATAAGTGCTACGGTTGGAGTCGAACCATGTGATTGACAGTCCGATGACGTGTCCACTAGACCAAGACACCTCCATAATATGTTTCTTTAATCATCCTAAACTGTTTATAACATAAAATTAATGTACTAATGATTTGCAGACCTCCGTATGATAAACGAGAGATTATTAAATAGATAAATAAGTTGATATACAATGTCATGTGTATAGAGAGATAGAGAGAGAGAGAGAGAGAGAGAGAGAGAACATGATCAGAAAGAAATAGAAATATAGATAAATATTATAAATAGATAGGTAGATAGAGATATTAAATACATAAATAAATAAATATATCGAGAGAGATAGACAGGAAGAGAGAGAGAGAGAGAGAGGGGGGAATCGGAAAGGTATACAAATTATTATTTCAAGATGAAGATTGAGCTTCATATATCATAAGTTATACATTTTAAATTGTAGTTATATCATACAAGATATCATATTGTCAAACAACTCTTATCTTCTGTTCGATGGATATTACCAGAAGAGTTTACGTAAGGGGTTTTTGAAAAAAAGGAGACAGAATAATTTTCGGAGTTAGATTATATCTCTCGAGCATGTATTACTTGTTTACTTCAACAACCCGAACTTTTAATTGCTAACGTTAAAATCTGACATAATGTCATCCAAATATGTTCATGAAACATAAATTAGCTGACAAACAGTATATTGTGACGTCGAAATGATGTGCTTTGACGTTCTATTGTTATTTGAAAACTATATACTTACATGTATACAATACGGACGTGTTTTTATATCATCAATGTATGTGTGTTTATCTCCTTTCTACATCTACAGTTATAATCTTGACTTTGTGTAAGTGTGACGAAATAGTTGCTTGTATGTATATTTTGTGTTTTTTAAACAAAGGCGCTACAACGGTTCAGCTATACTGAATGAGCACTTTTACCATAGAAGGGGGGAGGGTGAGGGACCAAACTTGCTGTAGACGGGTGAAACATAGAAAGTAATGCCTTCGAGTGGAAAGATTGTGGCTGAGGGTGTGGGAGAGGGTCGTTCCATCCGTCTTAAAAGTTGCTTGCCCCCTTTCTTCACTATCTTTCAATCTTTCGAAGGATGGGGCTTCTAGTCTCGTATAACCCCCGTAGCTGCGCCACCGTATCTGAATTTAGAATGATCGAATGCAATTGGCCAAGTCGTCAAAAGTGCATGTGCGTGTCGATTTATTTAAATTGAAAGCTGTTTCACAATTACTGCCCTCTGTTTAAAATCTTTAAAATGTCAAAGAGACAGTTAAGTTCGGGGTCCCGTCTGATAAAGAGTTGCTTTTAATCGCAACCTATGTGCGATCGATTGATATCAATTTCAACTATGTAGATACGAGATTAGAGACTCCAAACTTGCAATTGATCGGAGGACTTGCGATATATTTGGATCAATGGCAACTCTTTATATGACGGGACACTGGTAAGAGTGAATATAACAGTTCATAGGTTTTGAAATATTATTTCTTTTTTGTAAGTTTGGAAGGATGTCGTAGGAGAAATAATGTGCTCTGACTGTCTGATAAAAGATGGCTCTTCAAATACCTCCGACATTCGAATTACGACAAGAAAGAGCTGAAAAGTTTGGACCAAACCGTCATGCCATGCGCATGTGAAATCACTTCTGTGTGTAGTACATGTGACCTTCCGCAAGGCTGGGTCAATTTATTATGATTGTGATGATGATTCACAGCACAGTGTACAATAATTTTTATATGCTAAATCAACTTATCCCATTGCTTCAAGATAGTTACTTTCACAACACGATAATATGTTTAGTACTCAACTTTATCTTTAAGTGCTTGGATCATTCTCATAAGTTTAATATTTAAACAATGCTACTTTGAGCATTATGTTAACGAGGTTAAAGAACAGTACTAATTATTGGCTACTTTGTGAGCATTATGATTGATATCTTCATTAAAAGCTATAGTTTCATCGAAAAATGTATATTCAGTTCTTTGTTATTGTCCTACGATCTAAATGCAAAATAGTGGAAATTATCTCCTTTTACTAGTATAGATTAGGGATCAATTCGCTTTGGAGTTAAAACCCTCGACCAGATGGTGGAATCCTTTCTCAAAAGAGTAATTCAAACCACTTATTTGGAGTGTATTCCAGTATTAATTATAGCTGCTTCAACCCCAAACAGAGCGACCGCTATACACGACTCCAAAAAGAAGGGGTTTACCAGGGAGGTGGGTTTACCACTCCTCTACATCAAGAGAGCGCGTGTATGCTCGAAACCGTAGTACTTATATTTCTCATTGGACAGAGGTAAAACATAATTATGCTTGTACAGCCATTTGGTGATAAATAAAGGAATGCATATGGACACAGACTGTGGGTCAATTCTAAAAATGGTGATACAAACGGTGTGATGCTTACGAAAACAATCAGACAATTGGGACGCAGGGGCTCGCTTTCATTTGTGTAAAATAAGGTCTTGACCTTTTGTAATGTGTGGGCGATCTAAGAGGGTGTAAATTTGTGAGTGTGTGTGTGTGTGTGTGTGTGTGTGGTGGTTTCGGATGTGCTTTCATTGATTGCAGGCTATTATATTCTTATGGTACTGATACTACCTGTCAGGTCTTATCAATATAGTGGTGAAGTGTGACGTCTTCAAAAATATATTTTTAGAATTTCTCAATTTTTTCTTCATTTTCCGAAAGAGCATAAAAAATAATGTCCAAATGTCGAAAACCAATGGCTGAGATATGACCATCCGAATAAAAAGCTTGCCTATGGGAACTCAGTGTTATATGCTCTGGCTCCCAATGGTTAGGAGCCAGAGCATATAACACTGGGTTCCTATCGGAAATATATTCATTCCGATGATCATATCTCAGCCAATACTTCACATATTCAATTGGTTTTCGACATTTGGACATTATTGTTTGTGCTCTTTCGGAAAATGAAGACAAAATTGAGAAATTCTAAAAATAGATTTTTATGATGTCGCAGCTTCTGTACTCTATAGCTTTTCCACTAAAACCAACCGAAGCACTCACAGATTACCCATTCACTGGAGTCAATTACTATTCCGCACGTTATAGTGTACATTCTCCTCTCCCTAGGGAACATTCCAGCTAGGCGCCATTTGACGAGCGCGCAGATGATAATCCAACCACTATGATGTTCGTATCCTACCGGTAGCTCATTGAACACATGCATGTGTGGAAAGGAGCAATGTGGATAAAATGCCTAGTTGTTCAAGGGGGGGGGGGGGGTGTTTCACAAAGACTAAGATCGACTTAACTACGGCAGGTCGTTCATACCATTGTTTGCTCTCACCATTGGTCTCTCAATTATGATCTTTAGATAATATTTTTTCCTTCAATAATAAACTATATCACAAAAAGGTAAATTCTGTAGATTTGCGACCACGATTTGTGCGTCCCTTGAAAAACCAATGCCAGGAATTGTTAGTCTTTGTAAATCACTCCCACGGACACATAGGTGCCGTGCCGGGAGCTCGAACTAATGCATTTCTAGTCAAGTGATTATACCAACCGACTACGGCACATCTGCGCCAAAAGGAAAAGATGTAAGAAGAAATTTTGCTTTTTCATCCCGCACTACCGACATTTGCTGACATTTTTTGTAATGTGGGCATGACCCTTATAGTGTCAGCAGAAGTATACCGACATTATAAGAAAATACACTTAAAGAGGCTTTAGTGCCTTTTAACATGACCAAAGTATTTGACTTTTCTCTCCTTAACTAATCCTACCATTGTAATTTGTTTACGCCATGCCACGTGCAATATCTCTTTATTGGTTTTCATTCGGGAACTGCCATATACGGTATGTGTACACTGTAGATGCACAACAACAGAGGTTGAAAAAAAAAACAGACAGTTTCTCGGTTTTCTTATATTTTAATCTATGCGGCAAGTCCGGAAAATATCGACACTCATAGAAGTGGGAATGAGAGCCTGAAATTCCTTCAATGACCCTGCTCTGACATATTTACTACTCACTTTTTGTTTAACCTCTAACATTCTCACCTCGAGCATTTTTACTTCTGACATTTGCATTTCTGACATTATTACCACTGGCATTCTCACCTCGAGCATTTTTACCTCTGACAATTTCACCTCGAGCAAATTTACCTCTGACATTTGTATTTCTGACATTATTACCACTGGCATTTTTACCTCGGGCATTTTTACCTGTGACAATTTCACCTCGAGCAAATTTACCTCTGACATTTGTATTTCTGACATTATTACCACTGGCATTTTCACCTCGAGCATTTTTACCTCTGAAAATTTCACCTTGAGCAAATTTACCTCTCATATTTGTATATCTGACATTGTTACCACTGGCATTTTACCTCGGGCATTATTACCTGTGACATTTTTACCTCGGGTATTTTTACCTCTGACAATTCACCTCTGGCAATTTTACCTCTGAAATTTCTATTTCTGACATTGTTGCCCGGCATTTTTATCACTTGCATTTTTACTTGTGACATTTTTTACCGCGGGTACTTTTTTTTACTTCTGACATTGTTACCACTGGCATACCTCGGTAGCTGTTTTTCGGCTATTGTATCTGGTGAAGCCGAATCCGACTTGCTATATGCGCAATCTTATACATGTAAATCGCGGGTAAGATGAAATTAAAGAAAACTTTGAAAACATTGCAGTCTTTAAATAAAAATGTAGAATTGGTGTTGGTAGAATTGATCAAGTAAGATAGTCTTAAATAATAATCATTAAAGATAAAGGTGAGTTCTGGTCATCCGATTGCATTGTAAAAGAAAGGTGTGGAATGGATCAGAAAAAGTTGATCATACAGCATGTAAGTATTTAAGTGTGTCAAGGTCTGGAGTCATTAAAATCATAATAAATTTGGCACAGGCTTGGTAAAGTAACAAGCACTGTACACATAAAGATGTGTATGGGACTGCATAAGTGGTGTCGGGGCTACTATGATTTCCTAATCTTTCTATGCTCATTACTCAGCCAGTATACATTTTCTACCAAAATTGTTTGGCAAATGACATTTATTTGTAATCTTGAACATTCAATGTAAGTTTCGTTTGATTCTGTGAGAATTCATTTTCTTTTTTAAACCAGAACTCACCTTTATCTAAAAGTAAAGATATTCGAAGGTCACATTGTTGTTATAGTTATGGCAGACAAAAGTGTATCATTATAAAACGCATCATCTAACCCTGTGTTTATAAATATAAAGAAATGTACGCAGAAAATACACAATTTTAAAGAAGATTAGTTGAAGTACCATAGTAGTGTTAATTGCTCATGAAATGTTTATCCACGGCTCTCAAATAATTCCCACAGTTCAGTGACGCTATTTGTTACCATCTTATTTCGATCATTGACGTACTCAATCTGTTGCACGGTATGTCGATTCTTTGTCATATATTATATAACATTGTATACTCCTCTAGACCTTATTTGTCAGCCGCTTTTTGAATAAGATGTATGTTACCTATTTTAAAGTACAATCTTTATTAGATTTAGATGATGGTGTCATTGCAAATGAGAATCACAATCTAAGTTACTTATATGAATTATTAAGGCCAGGAAGGAGAATGCGCTCATTGAAATGTAGGACAAATTACAACAATATACATGATACACAATTATAATAACAAATTCCTAATAGCAATCATACAATAATAATAGTAAATATTTACATAACGCTTTATAGTTTAACAAACAAAATATGATTACATTACATTACATGTTGAACAGATAAGTCTTAAGTTTACTCTTAAATGTTTCTAAGGTTGGGGACTCGCGTATTTCATGGGGAAGATTGTTCCAAAGTTGGGGGGCACAGACAGAAAAGGCACGATTTCCAAAGCGGGTGTGGGTGAGAGGGCCTGGGGCCAGATGAGTAATACTAGAATATTAGATTTTTAAAATTTTGTCTACCTCTTATTTTGATGGTTCTTCTATGATTATAAACACAGCGATATAGTTTCTCATACACCATATATATATTACGTATTTTTACAATGTGTGACCAAAACAAATTTCCATGTATTCTTGTGAATTTGGATGAATATAATGAATTGAATTGAATTGAATTAAATCTTAAACATCTCATACTATAGTATCCTCGAATCAATATACATAATTTACTTATTAACATGTCGTTCAAATGAACTTACCCTCCCATGCCTAACTCCATTCTCATTTTGTCTCCATCTACTGTGTCTATAATCGATTTCTTATTAGATGCAAGAATCGTATCAATATAATATTGTTCTTTAATACAAGTCAAGAACTTGTTTTTATAAGTGGTATTGGGCATACCCAGCACGAGCCTTGCTTTCCTGATTTTCGGTTCCTTCTACTTTTTGAATTATTTATTGCACTGATCATTATGTTTACCACATTGTACAAATAATGCGAAGTAAATAAATGTGAATTCCTACTTCAAAATGTCAAGGAAATTTAAAACATCGCGTCATTCTTCAAATACCGTTTTGGTATGCAAGTTACTCCCAAGCCAACGGGTTTACACTTCTCGGAGTGTTGAGTTTGATTTTCTATTTCATCCATTAATAATCATGTAGAAATCCATGGCTATTCCGTTGTCCTAAACACTATTCACGAATGACATTTATTCTGTGGTATAAAGATTATACTTGCTTCTTCGAACACAGACGAACGCGTAACCTTGACAACAGTCTTTATAGTATCACTATAATATTACTTTTATTGCTACAGATGCGACGGACATGTCATATTCCATCGAAATCAACGAGTTTGATTTGATTCCGTGCTGTTCTTTGGTTCGAGCGCCCTCTTTTCAGCGCCAAAAAGAGCTTGTTTTTAAATTTCGAATCAAAAGACTCTAGATAGGTTGTAGTTCTTATGTATGCCTTCAGGTCAGGATCGAGAGAGTCTTGGCTGATATCTCCAAGAGTGATGATGAGCAACGTGTTACGGCGATCGTGCAACGCTTGAAAGTGAGCCATGCGGAACTCGTACATGCACCAGTCACTCTGCAGGAAGTTGTCTGACAAGACGAGAATGACACGACGGCTCTGCGCCACGGCGCTCACGATGTTGTTCGCGATGGTGTCGCCTGGGACAAAGTGACGATGATGGAGACAGATGGTGTAAGAAGGCTCATCTTCAGTTTCCAAAAGTGGCACCAAGTAACGGAGCACGAATTCGTCGTCAAGTTGGCAATAGGAGATAAAGACATCGAAGGGTTTGTTCGCGTCATCTTCGGACAGGTCTTGAGGAAAGTAACGCAGTAACATGAGCTGGAAGAGCGTTTTGTTCTTTTTGTATAGAAAAACGCAAATGAACACAACCACGAGAACACCAGTGATGGCACCAAGCGATGCAAGTGGTGCGAGTAATGGACTTGTCCCATGTTTCCTGCAGTAAGAGGAATCGAGGTTAGCTAATGATACGGTGGTACCGTCGCGCTTCCGACATGTTACATTGCCCTTAACCTCTAATGTGTACCTGACCAACCCCTGTAATGAGATCAAGTTACAGCTACAAGTTAGTGGGTTTTCTTGGAGGCTCACTATTTCGAGACTTTGAGGGAAGTGCTGGATAGCAGGGAGGACGGTGAGAAAGTTTCCGTGTAGATAGAGATAGGTTAAACTTGGGGTGTCCAGAAAGACCCCATCAGCAATAGTTCTGATGGAACTGTGGTTTAAATACATCGTGTTAAGTCGAGTCAATCCCTGGAACGTCCCTTTCGTTATATTGCGAAAATTATTTCCGTCGAGTTTCAATTGCAGGACTGAGTTTAAGAGTCTAAACGCTCCGCTTTCTATCCTCACGATACTACACCTAGTAAGCGTCAAGTCGCTTAAGAATGGCATTCGAGTATCAAGCATACTTTTTCTAAGAGTGTTCCAGATATTCCCGGTTAGGTCCAACGATGAAGTATTGCTTGGTATGCCTCGCGGAATACGTGTTAGATTTTCAGATTCACATTCGACATTGATCACACGGCGAGGTGTTTGAAGCCCTAGATCCTTCATAACCTCGTAGCATTGACAATGTTCAGGGCACAGAGAATCGGACAAGGGGCACTCAAAATGCTCAGGCCTTATTGAGAATAATGGTATTCCATTCAGGTTGGGTGGTGAAAAGCATTCGATGTCATCGCGATCACTTATCCAAACATCCTGCCCGTCATAAATACGAAACCAAGTAAGACGGCAGTCGCAAGTGAAAGGGTTACCACCTAGCCTAACCACCAACTGATTTCCAGCTAGTCTCTGTTCCCCGAGAGGGTTCGACTGGATATCGAAGAGTCCATCGTGGAGAGTCTCTAAAGAGTTATAACTAAAGTCGATGAATGTGAGTCTTCTTGCCCATCGTAAGACATTCGTTGGTAACGATTCGAGACGGTTGTTACGGAGAACGACGTACGAAAGCGAAGAAAGTAACTCATCTGTTTGAAAAACACTTTCGGAAATGGACGATATTAAGTTATGTGACAAATCTAACGAGGTTGTATATCCCCGGACTCCTGGCACAGTGTCCTCTGTGAATGAAGTCAATGAATTGTAGGAGAGTAAAAGCTTCTCAGTACCTAAGAAACTCAGACTGAACTTCTCATCAAGGTTATTTCGTGACAAATCCACTTCTTCGAGGGACCTCATCGACCGGAACGCATCAGCGTGTATGGATGAAATGTTATTGTCATCTAGGTATAATGTGTTCAAGAATTCGAGGGGTTTCAGAAGGTCACGGGAGATGTGCGTAATGCTATTGCTCCGGAGGGACAGTACCTGCAAGTCTTGAAGATCATTGAAGATGCCATCGGGAAGTTCTCGAATGTCATTATCCCACAAACTTAGTTGCCGAAGGTGGGTCAAACCTCTGAAAACCTCCGGATGCAGAGACTTTAAATCAAGTTGAACCAATGACAGTACCTCAAGGTTTTTGAGTGGAGAAAAGGCATCGGGTTTGATGGAAACATCATCCTCTAAAGCGAAGTTTAATTTCTGCAGACCAGGTAGACCCATATACGTATCGGCGGTGATGTTGAAGGGCGTAAAGCAATTGACATCGCCAACGGTATCAACTTCCTCGGCGATGTCGCCACATTTTTTTACCGCGCTCATCAAAAAGCCGGAATAACTAAGAGAATTGTTCCATGAGCAATCAATGTACACTCTCCTGGATCGCGGGAAATAAAATGGATCCGGATTCGTAGCACTGATTAATTCAGGAGTCAATTTGCAGGAGACATACTGAAATGCAGCAAGGGAGTCAGTGTCTGTGACTGTGATGTTTGGAGGGTCACATTGGCAACTGCTATTACCTGTCGGTAGCGGTACAACTGGACACTCGATAACGTATGGAGTGAAAATTGCGGAGTTCACATGTTCTTCACAGACGCAAACTGATATCAAATTCAACAGGATTGTCAATAAGAACTGTCCTTTAATGAAGATTCCCATTGTGGCAAGTTTTGTTGAAATACTCAATAAAACAAATGTTAATCAAATCTCATTCAATCAAATCATATCTAATCCAATGCAAATCCAATCTATAATGTCTTTCGTAGTGCGACTTTCCCTTGTAGGGCTGCACAAATTGCTCAAGCTGTTTTGGTCATGTAAACAATAATATATCTCTTAGCAATAAACCAGTTGTGCCAATCCAATTCATGTTATCTGACAAACGAGACGTCAGAAGTTACTGAACTGATCCACAAGGCTAACCGTCTTCACGATGACTGGTACTTCACTGACCTCACCTCACCTCTTCCTTCCTCCAGCTGATGTTTAAGTCCGTTAATTTAAGACGTAAATATTAATTCCATCACTATGCGCTATACACGATACCTTTCCTTTTCCGTTCAAATAAAGTATTTTTTGAAAGAGAATGAGAACATGACGTCATATCGTCGTCGTCACGGTCATGCAGAATAAACATCCGCGATATTGGTGCGTAAGAATCACAAAGCGCTTTCACCTTTACCAGTAAATTATTGTACGATCGCACGTTCTTTGTAACTCACTTTTATTGTTCACGTACACGTGCGTAAATGCCTGTAAATATTTATCATGTTTGTATTCACGAAACTACCACGAAAATTGAGATAGATTCAAACGGATAGGATGGCAGAACATTGAGCTTTCGGTGATTCCCCGTCAGTTTGAATAATGAGTTATATTGTGTTGAGAGTATAGGGGATCCAAACCTGCCGGAATCTATTTCAACCAATTCCTTATATGGTTGTTTTGGAGGGAGGTGTGTTAATATCAGGAACTTGTTAGACTTTCGACAGGAAACTAACTTTTTGTTCCTAAAGATAGTACACACCAGTGGCGGATCCAGTCGGCGGCAATAGGGGGGGGGGGGGGGGACTAATTCCTGAGAAAATATTGAGTGGCGAATCAGCCAGCCGATGAATAAGCGGGGGTTGGGGGGGGGGGGTTGGGAGGGGGAGGTAAGGACACGTTCTTTAGAGCAATTTTTTGTTTTGGTCCAATTTTTCAGGAAATATTAAGTGGCGAAACGGCCATTCGGTGAATAAGCGATTTAAAAAAAAAATTAAAAATTTAATTGATTTAAAAAAAAAAAATTGCCAGGGGGTGGGCGTGGATTCGCGCCTGCTCTTGTACACGTCATGTGATTCCTGACTTAACTAAAGGTTTATAATAATGATTGCAGCATGAGCTACCTGAAGTCTAGCATTTTGTGTGTGCCAATATCTTAAAAAGAGAGTGTATTCCCGAAATTTATTCTAATGGTATGTTTATTCATTTTGTAAGAGCTATGGTACTTTTGTTTTTAGCGCTCCTAAATAAGCGATAATATGAGTAATCGTAATAATAGCGTTTCAAAGTTTCAAATTTCAATAAAAATTGTCTAGGTAAGTGCAAATCCCCAAATACTTCTTTGTTATTCAAATTTTGTTCAATGATTATTCTTAATGATTCTTAATGATTAATTTGATGTAATAGATCATTGAGTTTTAAATGGGGCCAAACCTGACTAGTTATATAACAATGTGAAATGAAAGGACTCTTGGAAGTAAAATGGCTCTTTCATTTCATTTTAGAAATAAACTCGGGTTACGAGCACTCTTTTTTCTTCTTCACAATTCGTGAGAAAATTCGTTTTTTTTTTGAATACTTTAAAAAAATACTTTTTAATAACTTTTTTTGGTCAGAGGGGGGGGGGGGGGGGGCGTCGACTCCCCCCCCCCCCCCGTAGATCCGCACATGGTACACACACTGGTACTAACAGGAAATTGTGTAATATCTGATTTCTTCTCCTATTTCCTATTCACGTGTAATATCTATCAGTGGTTTTTGTCTTTCCTTGGTTATATTATGGCAGAGTAAATCCTAGCGTCGAATCCGCTCTAACTTCATGTGAGAGATCACACTGAATTGACCTCGAAGAATCGTGTAAGATAACCAAGAATCAATATACACTGTAAAGAGATGTAAGGTACAAATTCGTCCACATGGGTGTCATTTTGTTCTCCCAACTTTTAGGCAATTCCAGGCCTTTCTTTTTAAATGTTGGCATTTTTTTTCCTTAATATATCCTGAATATTGGTTAACGATGAATGCGATTGGGCAAAACATTAACTAAGCAGTTGACAAATACTTCACTTCCTCCGCTGAAAAATGTTTTACTCAGCATTCTTTTTCTTCTTTAATGGGACAGTTGAACTCTTTTTTCAGACCGCAAATGCCTTCAAAGTGCATGCTTATTGCACTTATTCTTATCTATGACATTTCTAATGCCCATTTGGGACCTAAAATTGCTATGAAGGTAATTTTAGACCCCAAAATGTGTAAAATTTAGCCAATACGATTATACCGATTCAGCTCCACTTTAAAAAAATACGGTGATCGTTAATTAATCAATTCATGAATAATAACAATACATGGGCCGGTGTGACCGCGTAGAATGTAACCCGCACCGATCGTCCGACTATTAGAGATCGATCGAGAGCAGACGATCGGTGCGGATTTTATCCGCGCAGAATGTCCGTGTCGGACATTCCGTGCGCGCCTCAAATGTCTGACGGACAATCCGTGCGGAAGAGGTCTCGCACCAATAGTCCGCCTGCCGCACCGAATGTCCGTACTCTAGTCCACACATATACATAGTCAATATAGTGGAGGCTATTAGGGCTAAATAGGGGTTGTTTGGTGCAGATTTTTCTAAAAGCACCAGATTTGGCCCAGAGGTAGATTATACCATACTTTTACGATTTCTTCCGGCCGCCAAGAGGGCACCCTCTGGGTATGCCATATTGGGCAAATCCAAAATGGCCGCCATCTGAGTTAAAGGTCAAGCGTAGTTCCAAAAGGAAAAGCGGTTGTATGATAATAGTTTATATATTTATGGGGTTTTGGGGGTCAGAGAATCTGATTTTGATGTTCTTTCATCGATTTGAGGTCTCCTAGGGTCTGCCATACTGGTCATATTGGTAAAATCCAAAATGGCCGCCTTCTGATAGTTACAGGTCCAGTGTAGTTACGAAAGAAAATGGGCTAGTATGATAAAAGTTTATATATTTATGGGTTTTCGGGGTCAGAGAATCTGATTATGATATTCTTTCATCGATTTGAGATCTCCTCGGGTCATACTGGTAATATTGGTCAAATCCAAAATGGCCACCATTTGATAGTTACTGATCAATAGTAGTTCCAAAGGAAAAGAGCTAAAATGATAAAAAAAAAAAAAAATTATATAGAAAGGGGGTTTTCTGGGTCAGAGAATCTGATTATGATGTTGCTTGTATCAATTACAGGTCTCCTTGGGGCTGTCATGCTGGCCATATTGGCCAAATAAAAAATGGCCGCCATCCGAGTTAAAGGTCAAGCATAGTTTCAAAAGGAAAAGGACCAGTATGATAAAAGTTGATGAATTCATGGGGTTTCCGGGGTCGGAGAATCTGATTATGATGTTCTTTTATCAATTTTATTTCACCATCCTGTCCTAAGGCTACAATGAAGTCCATTTCCTGATTAAAGAAGATGAGGGAAGATGCGCCAAATTCACACTTACGTGGGTTTAAATCTTGGCCTGCGCCCATATGTTTCATCAATATGCAAACTTTCCTCTGTGAAATGCATAATAAATTCGTTTTCGAGGATTGGCAAGGAAAATAGATAAACAGTAGAAATAGACCATGAATAAAGAAATAAACAGCTGGTTCGATTTGTTTTGAAGCATTATATTGAAAGACCCGGACAGCTTTATCTTTATTATCCATATAAATAACGTCTATAATCACTGTCAGACGGGAGATAATACCAATACGAAATGCATTAAGCAACGTCTAGACGTAAAGGTCGAATCTCAACTTTAGTTTTCTCATTCTTCTTTACATTTCAAAGCGTTGCATGGGATCTTAATCCTGTTTTTTCTACATACATTAATGCCCCCATTTAAGCATACTTTGAATCTGGTCACGCTTCGAAAAGTTCGTGGCCTAGCATTTTGCTTCTGTTGATGATCAAATAGAGAAAGCACTCTTTATAGATCAGGGAGAGTGTGAACAAAGCACGAAGTAGGAGCAGTGCAATTTAAATATCAAGGGATGGATTAGAGTTTATTTCTAAAATAAAATGAAAGGGCCAATTTATTTTCATGAGTCCTTTCACTTCATTGAAGAAATAACCTCTCTTTATACCTTAGAGACACTTTTTCTTGAAAGTCAAATAAACTCGAGAGCATCCTGGGGCTCCACCCTGGAACCCTTGGTAGGGGCTCTTCCAGGCCCCTAAAGCTGTGCCATATTTTACGGATCCATTAGAAAGCAAGATAAGCCCAATAAATAATTTGTATATATATATATATATATATATATATAAATATATAGAGTTCTCCTATGCAAACTTCCTCTGTGAAATGCATAATAAATTCGTTTTCGAGGGTTGGCAATGAAAATAGATAAACAGTAGAAACAGACCATGAATAAAGAAATAAACAGCTTGTTCGATTTGTTTTGACGCATTATCTTTAAAAACCCGGACAGCTTTATCTTTATTATCCATATAAATAACGTCTATAATCCCTGTCAGACGGGAGATAATACCAATACGAAATGCATTAAGCAACGTCTAGACGTAAAGGTCGAATCTCAACTTTAGTTTTCTCATTCTTCTTTACATTTCGAAGCGTTGCATGGGATCTTAATCCTTTTTTTCTACATACATCAATGCCCCCATTTAAGCATACTTTGAATCTGGTCACGCTTCGAAAAGTTCGTGGCCTAGCATTTTGCTTCTGTTGATGATCAAATAAAGAAAGCACCCCTTATAGATCAGGGAGAGTGTGAAAAAAGCACACAGTAGGAGCAGTGCAGTTTAAATATCAAAGGATGGATTAGAGTTTATTTCTAAAATGAAATGAAACTGAAAGGGCTATTTTATTTTCAAGAGTCCTTTCACTTCATTTAAGAAATAACCTCTCCTCATAATCTTAGAGACACTCTCTCTTGAAAGTCAAATAAACTCGAGAGCATCCTGGGGCTCCACCCTGGAACCCTTGGTAGGGGCTCTTCCAGGCCCCTAAAGCTGTGCCATATTGTA